GTCGAGTTTCAAATTGAAGTAATCGCTACGTGCCATGGGATAAATTGCTGATTGAGCATAGACAGAAGAAGGCCAAGAACCAGGTCCAGATTGGCAGATTAGATCTATAGTGTCAACAAATATGTAACTTAGGCATGGAAATTCAAAATGAAATTTCACAAATGTCCATATACAGAAACACCCAGGGAAAGGAAATACATTAGCATTGGTTTATATCATACCAAGACCTCCTGACCCAGATGCTTCCACATTTATAAAAGCTCCTATGGTATCACACCATTTATGAGTCTCACGAAACCATTTGCAGCCTAAAATATCAGAAGCAACAATTTTATATTTCTATATGTAGGATATTCGACAAGATTTGGATCTTCAGGAAAAATTAACAAAATAATGTCAGCTTGTGGTTTGATTTTATAAGTTGCTTCTTTGATATGTCTCTAAATAAGAATTGAGACATTATTTCTTCAAGTTTTATGATCTATCTTTTCAAAAGAAAAAACTGCAGCAATCTCAATTCAAATAATGGGCTACTTTAAGAAAAAGCATTGATATATTCCTTGCCAACAAGAAAACTTCTTCTGCACCATTGAATAATAGAATTATAGGTCGAGGTGGAACCCAGCCAGAGTCTATGGTTAGTCTTGAAATTTCCAACAATGATGCTGCAATAATACAAAGCATCAGGGAGATGACTTCAATAAAATAGCTAGTGTAATTTCAGCAATCAAGCTAAAAATATTCATGTACTTACCAACACATGAACCACAATCACCAGCACCAGGGGAACCAAGTGGACTATCAAAATGAGCATTCATTAAAACTGATGGATCGGTTTCTAGTGAATCTATTGAGGATATCCTATCATTATATGAAATCAAGAAGATAATGTTATTTGCTAGAAAAGGTGCAATATTAAATAGACTGCTTCACTATGTTCAACAGAGAATATGCAAGATGGTTATTGCCTCTTAAAGGGTAAAACAAACAAAAATTTGGGAACCTAAAGCCTAATAAACCCTTAAGCGATGCTATCAATAGCTCCCCTCATTTTTCATGAAGCAAGCACATAAAAACTTTCCAATATGGTGTTGATTTTTTATTATCCATGATCAAGCTTAAATAAAAAGGTTTTACACACTAGTACACTACTTTGACACCCTAAATGATATGGAAGATTCACGTGTAACATATGTTACTCAGACTTGGGAGAATGCATGGATACGGGTATGTCTGCTATATGTGTGTGCTTTGATTTCTGTTTTCACATATGCTAGGAGGGTCCTAAGGTCATTATCCCCATACTCAGTACAGAAACGAGTGTGGGATACAGGGAACTTCGAGAAAAATAAAGAATCCAAGTAACTGCAACTATGGCTTAGTCATGGTGTATAAAAGAAGCATTATCACCAGAAAGAAGACGTGGTTTTTCCCAACTATTATTTATTTCATTAATCATTACATTTAAAAGGGATCTAAAAGTGGCTGGATTTTATTTTAAAAGGACCCCATCAGTAAAAGTAGCCCCTACTTTTGTTCAACGGATGCCTTCAATGATTAGAAATAACAGATGCAGGCAAAAGGAAGGTAAGGAAGTTTCCTAATCATTCCCATGAAAGGTTGGCACGGTACTGCAATATAAATCCAATTTAAAGAACCCTATTCAGTTTCGGAGATTTACCTATATATTGGTATGATTTCTGTAACCAAATGATATACTGTGGCCTAAAACATCATATTGAATGACCCCACAACAACATTCTCTTCAATCTCAATCCTGCAAATTAATGAACTTATATAAAGTTAAACCAGAAACTCTAAACAAAATTAATGAAAACTGAAAACTAATTATTTAAAAAAAAAAAAGTTTAAGCCATAAAATTTGAACAAGATTAATTAAAAAAAATTAAACAATTCAGCCTTAAAACAAGTATATAAAAACCTGAAATTTGATCCAGCTCTCTCCTCCAACTTTTCCAACTGTGCCTTAATATACTCAGCTGCTTCTCTCAAACCCTGACGCCCTTCCTGTTGAATAAAGAAAACCCATACTTATTACTATAAATTCCTATTCTATTACACTGCTAAGTTTGAATATTTTATTCCATTCCAGCACTTCCAAGAATTCATCTTCAGTTCAGAGTAAGTAACCTTCAACCAATTAAAAATTGAATTCTAGAAGAAACATAAATGAGAATAAAGTACTATTATTAATAATAGTTAAAAGGAGAAGTTGACTCACTTGTCGACCATCGATTTCATGTGCTAAGACTCGAACATGCTCGATAGCTCTGGCTTCGGAAAAGCGATCGAGAGGCGCGTCGACCCGAACGGCGTGATGAACTCGGTGTAAATAACGGAGTGAGCAAGGATCGACATGAGACCATACATGATCGCCAATGAAAACAACCATTTGAACCCCGAAACATCTCTTCCATCAAGCCTTAACGCCATTACCTAACCGAAAAGAAAAAGAACCCAGGCCTCGATTTTTTATCTTCCACTTCTCTTTTACCTCAAATACAACACATGAAAGGGAAGTTAGGATATTGAAGAGTATTCCCAGACACCCCAAAAACAAGGCTGTATAAAGAAATGTAAGAAGGTGAAGGGAAAGAGAGAGGGGGATCGAACTAAAGTAATGTGTAGGAGAAGTTTGCTGGTTGTTTGTTTGTTTGTTTGTATTTTGTCAGCGCAGCTGAGTTTGTAGTGGTATAGGCGCTGAAAAGCGTTTACAAACGGGAATAAAAACCAATTCCCTCCAGTGAAACGTTGGTGTCGTTGTCTTTCCCTCCAGTGAAACGCTGGTGTCGTCTTTCTTTCGTTTGTTTTTCTATCTAATTTGCTTATGAAATTGGTATATTATAACTAATAAGTTCACTTACAACCGATGTTTCGGCCTGTGGAAATCCAATTCACTTGTACTTCTCCTCTGCTATTATGTCATAGGGTGAACTACTTATTTAATCATCTATTTATTTGTACGATTTAGTTTGTCATTTAACTATTTTTATTAAAAAATTATATTTAATATTACAGTTTGTTTTATTTTTAAAAATTAATAGAACTATTGATGTAATATTTTTTTTTATTTTTTCAATGATGAACATTATCTTATGGTAACACGTCAACTCATCATTAATTTTTTACCGACATGTGATCAAAATAAAACTAATACATAACGTTAGGTATTATTTAAAAAAACAATTGAGTGATCATAATAAAACTACACAAATAATTAGGCGATTAAATATGTAGTTTACCCTATATTATATTATACATTCACTATTAATATGCAACTCAATCTATATAAGTACACCAACAACCATTAAAAGTTACCAAGGTTTACAAATTAAGGTTTAAATTTGTAAAAAGTGTCGATATTATTTTGAATTTTGAATTTTGTTTTTTTTATAAAATTAAGTTTTTATATTATTTTTAATTTTAAAATTATAATTTTTTCTTAATTTATATTTAAACTTGATAATAACCGTTGAACCTACAGTTATAAACAAATATAAAATAATTTAAGCATGAATAATATGACTATTAAAGTATCTATGATATCACCAACAACCAGTTGATCAATTGGGATGAGACACTAGATCATCTACGTAAAATCAGAGGTCTGAATCTTGACGTTTGCGAATTGAGCAAACTGGGTTGGGAGGGTTGTCCTTGCCTCTGCAGTACCTGATCCGAATTAATCAATCAATAGATTGGAAACCGTTGGTTATAAAAAAAGTATCTATGTAAAACTCTCCAAATACAAGTAATTCTTGAATAAAAATTGAATGTATCCGTATATTAGCTGACATTCGAGCCCAAGTAGGTGAAGCATCTTCTTCTTGCTAAAAATTTATGAAAGACATAAGATTTTTCTATATGCCTAACTTTTGCATTGATTGATTCGTACATTATTTCATTTATTATTATTAGGGTAAACTACACATTTAGTATTTTAACTATTACTTTTGTTCCATTTTAGTATCTAAACTTTATTTTGTTTTAAAATCATACTTAATATTTAGTTTAAGTTTCATTTTGGTATCCCACCATTGAAAACTTAAGGGTGCTATTGACATGCCACTATAAAATAATATCATATCATCATTAAAAAAGAAAACATGACGTCAACGATTCTGTTAATTTTTTAATAGCAGGATATCAAATTGAAACTTAAACTAAATATTAGGTATAATTTAAAAAATAGATTCCAAAATAAAACAAAAATAATAGTTTAAATACTAAATATATAATTTACCCTTATTGTTATTCATATCCATTGTATGATTGGAAAAGACCGTACAGTTTGGCAATATGACCTTAATATTAAAATTAGCCGACTCTTATTCCTATATGTAATGGGGTAAGGAGAAAGTATGATAGTAAGATGCCCCCAACGTTAAGTTAAGAACAATTTCCGTGAGAGACATTCGAATTATAAATTGTCCACCGTGAGACTCAATCCCACGACCACAAGGTTAAGAATTTTGCGCACTACCAATTGAGCTGGATAGGCAATTCATATGACCTTAATATTACTTGATAACATATTTATATCATACATATATCTGAATATAAATAATTAGTTTAAACTCGATTCCAACAATATAGTTATAAATTACTAATTTGAATCGAATTTGACTATTTGAAACTCAAAAATTTTCAAAGTAAAAATCCAATTTCAATTTTTTCGAGTTGAGTCGGAGTATTGCTAGCTCAACAATACTCCGACTCCTCATGTTCTGTAGCATCGGTTCCCGATTCTGTGAAGGCCAAACCGTTGCTACGGATCCGAGCATTCCTTGCGCCAACAGTGAGTTGATAACAATCTATTACGAAACTAGCATGTTAATTGCTGTTAATCCACTTCTTTCTCCGCATAATTATGCGACTGGCCAACTCGAAATCACAATACGTGTGTATAGATTATCGAATCCAAATTAAGGTTTTGAATTTACATAAATTTGGGTATTCTACCAAAGAAATAGAAACCTTGCGACAAACATTGAGCATCTAATCATGTAAATAATCATATACAGAAAATGCGCGATCCTTAGAATGAAGAAGGGAGTAGCAATAATCACATAAATAACAAGGGTTTTCCTTCGCCCACTTATCCTCAACAGTTACCTTAGTAGCTCTTGAAATATTACAAACACTGCATTTCTGAACTCGGGGTTTTATTTGAAAGATCATTATCGGATAAGCTGCTCGATTTTGTACGTCCTCGGGATGAATCAACCTCATGTCCCTAATCACAATCGTGTGCTTGCAGTCACCCTTCATCAAACAAAAATCCAATAAAGATTGAGTATAAGAAGTGCCAGTTCGAAATACAATGTTTAAACCCTTTTAAGTTCCAAAAACTCATTGGACACACAATAATCCAATTTGGAACATCGAATTCATAAAATGAATGAATATAATTTGCAAGTTGATTGTAGTAGGGAATGAGAAAAAAGCAGTACCTGATGACAGTAGAGGTATCCGGCACCAAGTTGAAACCTAAAGTCGCAAAACCGAGTCTTGTGCAAATCTGCGGCTTTGAAGCGTGGCAACCTTGAAGGTGCCACATCACCTAAAATCAACTTTTGCTTTTGTTGCAACTCACCAGTTATGATGCTTTCCCATTTTTTCATAGCATCATCTGGAGAGTTTCTAAGCCAATCAAATATAGGTTTACTGTAATCTATAGCAGAGGAATCTCTCAAATCATTGAAAAATGTATCCTGCAGGAACATAACAATAAATCAAATAATGTAGTTGTCATCTATGTTACTCGGATTCGGGATTGACTATCAGATCTAGGTGTGTTTGACAAGGGTTCCAAGCTTTTTCATGCATATGTAGGGTTATACTCACATACACATGGCTGGATATTTGTCGAACATGGGAAACTTAAAGAAAGATCAAGTGCCAGAGTAATATAGGTTAAAGAAAATGGTTCAGCACAAATAAGTGAGAAATCGAGTTTCTTACTTCTATAAGGAAATATCCAGAAGGATCATAATGGCCAGCCTTCTGCATCACCTGGTCAGTCAAGCAACATATCTTGTCCTTAAGTTCAGTTAATGTTTGACGGCCGAGAACCAAGAACTCTTGAACCTACAACAACTTGAGATGTTGATACCAGAAAAGGGAATGGGAAAAGGAACGAATGATGAAATAACACCATGAAAGTTGAGTGTTAGTGACATTATATGAACATTATAGCAGTGGAAGTATTGAAAGATACAATATGTAGTGATTAGTTTTCAGGGACTCGAATATGATTTTTGATTTTGGAGTTGGAGGTTTGGATGGTCTCCGATGTCAAGTCGAGTAATTTGTGGCAGAATGGCGGATAGAGTTTTTTCGAAGTTTGTTTTGTTCAACTCTTATCGTGTGGAAGCTCATGACTTTAGTGTTTGATTTTGGCTTCTATGGATTGTGTCAGCTGATATATTTGGCTTCTATTATTGTTGTATTGTGTTGTATTTCGGGCCAAGTTTAGGCTTTTAGTCTGGTTAGTCATATTAGAGTTGTTGTTGTAGCTGAGATGATTAGGCTGTTAGTGTTACTGTTGAGGGTTGTTTTTGGTTTTTTGTCTATGTTGGGGGTGGCTCTCTGTTTGTATCTTATGTAATTTCTTATGTTTAATGAAATCTTAAGGCACTCTTTTCCACCTTCCTCTGATTAAAGGAGCTTCTCTACAAGCTCCTTTAATCAAGAATGGGGTTTTTAACGAGGCCTTCAATTCCTATAAAAAAAAACTCTCAATGGTTCTTATATAGGTATTTTCATACATAAAATAGAACTTTATTGATTTCATTCACTGAATACCATCAGAAACAAACGAGTAGAAGTTTATGATCTGGTTGACCCATAACTTGTAACAAACATAAATGATTAGAAGAAAAGAAACGTAATAATACAAACTGCTATATGGTTTAGAACTGAGAGCACCATACCTTTGACCATTTCCGTATGTTATGGTAGACCTCCACGCAAAGAACAGTTTCAGGGTGTACAACTGGTGTGTGCTCCTTGACATCAGCTGACTTAGCCTGTAATTCATCAAATGAAAAGGAAGAAAGAACACTTCAGTACTAATATTGGCTGCCTCGGAACCTCTTACAGATTACCATCCTAGTCTTATCTTTAAATGATCAAAGAGCAACAAATTTTATTCAAACTGTATGGGCAGGCATCCAAAGGCTTGAATGAGGATGCAAGTTGAATTTATAATCAATTCAAATTCATCTCTTTATGTGACAAAGTAGGTCAAAGTATGCCAAAAGTCCTTGGTACTTGGATGAAGTTTAAGATTTAGTCTATGTACTTGAAAAGTTGAAAACTAAATCCTTACTTCTTGAATTTAAAACTTCTAGTCCCATCGTTGACACTGTTAATATTTTCTATTAAACAATACACCCATGCAATCATAGTAACTTCAAAAGCAAATCATCATGAACCCCATTAAGCATGCCCATTAGTAAGCAAATTCTGATCAATATGCTAATGGTGCCAAAGATTTTATTAGAATTTTAAATTGAGAAAGTATGAGGAATTGATTTTTGACCAAGCCTCAAACTTTCCAGAAGTACAGGGGCTGACAACACATTTCGACCAACTAAGTAATATGAGCTACATTACTCAGACTCAGGTGTAACATCAGATACATGTACATGTCCAGCATGGGTATATTCATTTTTTTCATGAATTTGGAGGATTCTTGGAAAGTCATACCCCACACCCTTGTCTGAATATTCGTCAGATGTGGGTATTTCAAGCAAAATGGAGAATTGGAGCAACACAGGATATAAGAATATAAATGTGCTATATTTGAACACCACATTTATAAGTTCATCCACAAATTCTTTTAACTAGAGACTTCAGGTTTTAGCAAAATTAGAAAAGACCATCTGCGATAAATACACAAAGGAATCTTTGGCAAACCTTTCCACAGGAACTCGTAAACCGGAGGGTTTTGAACCTTTCAATTTTATCAGAAGTCAGGATGGCACTATCACTGATCTTGGAGATGGCACTGAACCAAATTTATAGACAAAGTCAGCAAAGAGCGGAAAAAGGCTTATCAGTTAAAAAATACCACAGGCAGATCTTGATACAAACTCCAAAGCATGTAGCCTTGCTGTTGCTTTGTCTTCATCTTGCTTTTGTTTAATCTTTGCAAGTTCTTCGACCTTTTTAATATACGTATCCTGGAAATGCAAACGGCGAGAACTTTGTTAAGAAGGAAAAATCAACGAGATTACAAGACATGTTTGTGAGGGGTTATTTTAATCTTAGATAGGAATAGAATAATAAACTACGATAGTCAATAAGATTAGATTAATACTACTTAAATATAAAAGAAATTCAATATAAACAGTACCGTACTTCGACATGACAATTAATTTTTTTCCTCCTCTTTTGCTTCTTTGAGCCTGCAGCTCCATCAAAATCAGTACCTGGACAACCATTTGAGGGCTCAGTTGAAGTTGAGGCATTCTCTACTGCATTTTTGTTTCTGGACCTTGTATGACAACTGCAGCACAAATTGTACATGTGAGTAAAATAAAACCTTGAAAATGGAATTATATCGCCCTGAAAAACTTGAACATCCCTATCGATAGCCAAGAAATGAAATAAATAACATAAGGTAAGAGCTTAAAAGGTAAAACATGATTACTCAAGAATAAAGAAGAAAGTGAAATAAATCCAGAAATTATATCAGAAGAAATCTAAGAGCACTTTCAAATATAAGCTTTACTTTGGATCAACCAGATAGGCCGAGATGATAAACAAAAAATAAAATATAGGTCACCCCGAATTGGAGCCATTTTCCAACCCTTCAGAAACATTTTCAACATGCTCATCCTCCTGCAATAAAACCCAGAAATGAAATAAGAAAAAAGGAACCTAAAATTAGAACAATACTAGTGGTATTATCAGCTTGATACCATCCTTCATTATAATGTCTGCAAATACCTTAAAAGCTTCTCTGAGAGCCATTTCTACCAACTCTTCCTCCTTAAGAATCCTGAGGTCATCAACACTGAAAAGAGTAGAATAGTCAAATAAACCAAAATCGTAAGATAGGCCTACACATATCCTACGGAATATTAACCTCCAAATACCCCTGAAATACAACGAAAATGATAAGAAAAAATTGAATATACCAGTATCATACACCTACAGGTATATCCAACGCACAAGCCCGAGTCAAAGTAACGTACAGAGAGGCAGAGATGCAATGAGAATGCATTGTTTTAAAAGATAATAAACAAAATTAAAATGCTAAAAGCAGAAGTCAGAAAATAGAAAAAATAAAACAAAAGTTGAAATGAAGGTGAGGTGATACTAACCAAATATCCTCTGACTCGGTGAGTTGGGCTGAATTCAATTCAACCTCTAATTCCTATAAATAACCCAAAAAATGTTTAAAAAAGAGGGAAATAGCAGAATACTGAAAAAGAATTTAGAACCTGGAGTTGTCGAAGAACTGAGTTTTGAAACTCGGGCACGCTGGTGAGAGGACTAAGTAGCTTCGAAATATAAATGGGCCACCCTTTGGGATTGAACAATTTGCTTCCGCTTCTACAATGTTCGTCTGATTCGCCTCCATGATTCTTTCTTCACTCTTCTTCGTTTCTGATTGTTCAAAACAAGGCTGGTAAAGATTCAAATCTGTTCGCGGTGCTATTCAGACCGATATTTTACCGATTCAGCCTCCCACCAGCAAGCCCCAGCGAGAGTAAGCCAAGAACAGTCGAGGTAGGTAGCGGCGGCGACGAGGCGATGGGAAGAGACTAGGGTTCGGTTTGGTTCATCGAGGGGTTTTAAAGGAAACCAAGATGACAAGGCCGAGATAGGACCGGCCGATCAAGACTGACGACGAACGGCGGCGAAGTGCGATGCGAGCAGTGGCAGCGAGAAGGGGGAAAATGAGGAAGGGCGCCGCGCGGGTTTAAAAATAAAAGCTAGAATTGGTTTGTGCCATAAAGAAACATAGGTTAACTACATATTTAGTGCCTAAAGTCCTTAATTTTTCCTAAAATGACTTTAACTTTAACTTCATTTACAAATTGGTTACTGAACAAAAATTAGGGATTTAAGGATATTTTCCCAAATTTTAGGGTTTTCAATTTGGGGTTAATTTGGAGTGTTACATATTTTCCTATGATCGTTAACATAAGAAATTAGTCACTTAAGACCACACAAGGACCATATAAAGAAAATGTTAAAAACCTTAATTAAATAATCTCAAATAAAATGTAGATACAAACATATCTGAATATATCGGAAAATGTATCTCAAAAGCGGATTAAGCTATTAAAATATCATAGACAAACTGCAAATCAAAATCGAGCGACGTGAGAAACTATCCACAAATGCAAATTATGTATCCTATTTTTTAAGATACAAATTATGTATATAAATTCAATCTGGTGGTCCAAAACATAAAGATCAACGTAATAATAAATAAACGTCATATTGATCATTCATGTGATGTTAAATCCGACCCTAAAAAATTATAAATGAAAATAATGGTCAAACGAATGAAAATGTGTCAAAAGACAGAGAAAAACGTGTAATAAGACAAAATTATTAAAAAATAAGAAAAAATATAAAAATATTATATTATAAAATAAAATAAAAACAATAAATACTTATGATCAACTACCAACATTAAAATTAATGTTATCGTCAGTCACAAAGATAAAAAATAACAAGAACTAATGACGGCACAAAAAAATATAAGGATAACTATCGTTTCGGTTCAAACTTAAGTGTGTTTCGTCCTTTACATTATCGATCCGTTCGGTTTTAGTCCCTCAACCGTTAAGTCTCGTTAATCCTCTAATGAAAGTATTATAGCAACTAATTTTTTTTTAAATAATCCAAGGTGTCCCTTCTTCTTCTTCTTCAGACCTAACAGTTTAAAACTATAAAAGCTTAAACCCATAAAACTGAAATTCACCAAGTTCATATGCCCTGGCAGAAACTTTAGATTGTAAGTGTAAACACTTATAGGTTTTTTGAGCTATTTATGTTTCATCTTGTTTTGTTTTTTTGTTGATTTCTATGTTTCTTTGTGCCTCCATTGAATGCCATGAGCTTTAGATCAACCGATTTGGTCCTAAACGAAGGTTGCTAGAGGTTGAAGAAGAAATTCAGACTCCGGACATAAAAAATCAAACCAAAGTTATTAAATCAACCTTGTCCACCATTAACAACCATATGAAGCTTTTTAACCCAACAATTCAAAAGCCTCGAGCTCTTCCAAGAGCAAAACAGATACCACTAAAATACTGACAGACAAAAAACTTAGCCACCATGAATATTCTAAAATGACCCCACAACATAGCAAAAACCAAAGCAATGGAAGAAACATCTCTCTGGATTGACCAAGAAGATGAATCCGATTTAATGGCGGAGTTTCGAGGTTTTCCGACCAAGTTCCAACAAACCCTTATCCCAGATCTTGAAAAAATATCGACAACCTCGAAGCTTACATTACCAAGTACAACAAACAATTCACGAAGCAATTCAAACCTTACGTCGGCAACAAGCATGCCCCTAAAATAAGTGCATCAACAAAATGGCTTAAATTATCAATGCAAAAACAATTTCTTTTTCTGTTTTTCATTGTTGAACACTTAATCTTATGCTTGTTACAGCTCCCGCGTGTTCCGAAATTCGACGAGTGGGACGACCATGATCTATAGTAAAAGACATACTTCAAAAATGCTGGAAAAGAGAAAGATGGCAAAATGACGAAGACGAACCCTAATGATCCCAAGGAGAATCTAGAGGCGTTCATGTACATGAGGGGAGGCCAGGAAAGTAACAATGATTTTTGAAACAATCACGTTCAGTTTGCCATTGATTCGAGTAAGTCCGATTCTAATACTGGAAAAGTAATGAACCCTAATAACCCTGGCAAGAATCTGGAGGCGTTGACCTATACGAGGGGAGGCCTCGAAAGTAACTACAATTGCCACCACACTCATGTTCGGTTCGCTGCCAATTCGAGTAAGTCTGAACTGGCATACAAACACCGTCCGAATTGTGCTAACATGAATGGTTCTATCAACCAGACCGTTCATTGACAAGTCAATTGTAATCAAGAATTTAATAAAAAATATATTTTTCAAGGTAAAATTTAACCAAAAAATCCTTTTAATTTTCTCTCTTATTATCTCTAGAATTCAATTGTAATCAAATTTTCCTATAAAACCATCAAATTTATGGTGTTTAATGGACAAAATAATCTTATTTATGTCCAACCTAATTTCAATCTTCTTAAATTTTGATATTTTACAATTCGCATGTATCTGTTGAAAGTAAACAAAAACGCTGAATTATTTGGTTCAACAAGTGGGGCGGCTAGTGGTCAAATTTGGCCACCAAATTGATCAATAATAAAGGGTAAAATACCCAATTTAGTCACTTTATTTTATGGTATTTACAATATTAGTCCTTAAGCTTCAACTATAAATACCCTAGCTCATTTAGCTTCAAAATCATCCCAAATCATTCTAGCTTTCTTCCAATACTAGAGAGAATTTAGAGAGTTTCTTGAGAGTTGTTTCTCCTTTTTATCAAGAAGAATTATCATTGTTTTCTCCTTGGTAGATCGAGAGAATTTGTAATTCCTATTTTCTCATAGTGAAATTCTTCTACCGTTGTCCGTGGTTTTTACCCTATATTATTTAGGGGTTTTCGACGTAAATTTGTGTCTCTTTTATCTTCATTTTTATTTTCTCAAATTATCAGTTGTGATTTTGCTCTATCTGATAGTCGTCTTCCGCAACAATTGGTATCAGAGCATATTAGAGTGTGTAATATCTGTTTATTGTCTTTGTGGTTGTCACCAAAAGGTGGATCCTCCAACATAAGAAAGTAAGAAGTTTTACCCATTCTTTGAAGGTTCCAGAGAACTATTCACGATAGTGAAATAGTGGGATCTATTCGTAATAGAAGCTATGACAACGAAATTTGATATTGAAAATTTAATGGAGAAATTTCTCATTGTGGAAATTGAAGATGAAGGCATCATGAGGAAAGACGGTTGTCTAGCAGCTATCAGTGAAAGGCTGGTAGATTTCACAGACGACAACAAATGGATCGAAATTGACGGGAATGTTATGGCAAACTTTCATCTAGCATTAGCAGATGAAGTATTGTCAAGAATCGAGGAAAAGAAGACAACTAAGGAGATATGAGATCATCTCACCAAATTGTACGAGGTCACATCGCTGCACAATAAAATTTTCCTTAAGAGGAAATTGTACACTCTCCGTATGCCAGAATCTACTTCAGTGACGGAGCACTTAAACACGCTGAACACTTTATTTTCTCAGCTTACATCCTTAAGATGTACAATAGTAGAATAAGAACGTGCTGAACTTCTACTTCAAAGTCTACCTGATTAGTATGATCAACTCATCATCAACTTGACAAATAGTAATGTCACCAGTCTCATCTTCGATGACGTTGCAGCTTCTGTTCTACAAGAAGAAAATCGGCGCAAGAACAATGAAGACAGACAAGTAAATCTGCAACAAGTATAAGCATTGACAACGATAACAACGATGAGAGGGAGATCAACAGAACGTGGCCAAAGTAGCAGTCACAATATGGTAGATCAAAGTCGATGAGCAATAAGAATTTAAAGCGTTACAACTGTGGAAAGAAGGGTCATTTGAAGAATGATTGTTGGAGTCTAAATAAAAATTCCAATCTACAAGTCAATACCGCAAACACTTCAGATGATGAAGATGATATATGCTGTGAAGCGTCAACCACTGTGGAAGGTAGAAAAAGATTTGCAGATATATGGCTCATTGATTCAGGAGCAACATATCACATGACCTCAAGAAGAGAATGGTTCCATCATTATGAACCTGTCTCAGGAGGATCTGTGTATAGTTGCAATGATCATGCCTTAGAGATCATTGGCGTGAGAACCATCAAATTAAAGATGTATGATGGAATAATTAAAGTTGTTCGAGATGTACGGCACGTAAAAGGCCTGAAGAAAAATTTATTATCCTACGATTGTTGGATAATAACGCAAGCAAGATTGAAACACGAAATGAATTATGAAGGTGTTCCGTGGAGCGCTTGTGGTGCTGAAAGGTGAAAAGATAGCTGCAAACTTATACATGCTGAAGGGAGACTTTGGTAGAAGCAAAGCCTCTGTTGCCTCATGTAGTTCAGATTCGGCAATGTTATGGCATCATAAACTTAGACACATGTCAGAACAAGGAATGAAAGTCCTTGTGGAGCAAAAGCTACTTACAGGCTTAACAAAGGTATCACTTACCTTGTGTGAGAATTGCAAAACTAGTAAGCAGCACCGGTTGAAATTCAACACGTTAAATTCTAGAGGCAAAAGTGTTCTAGAATTGGTTCACTCTGACGTATGGCAAGCACCGGTTACATCCCTAGGCGGAGCAAAATACTTTATCTCATTTATTGATGACTACTCTAGGAGATGTTGGGTGTACCCTATTAAGAAGAAGTCAGATGTGTTTTCAACTTTCAAAAACTTCAAAGCGCGGGTGGAACTTGATTCTGGAAATAAGATCAAGTGTTTCAGAATAGATAATGAGAAGAATACACAAGCGAAGAATTTGATGATTTTTGCACGAAAGAATGCATCAAAAGACAGTTCACAGTGGCGAACACTCCTCATCAAATGGAGTTGCAGAGCGGATGAACATAACCTTGTTAGAAAGAACAAGAGCAATGTTGAGGGATGCAGCCTAGAAAAATCATTCTGGGCAGAAGCAATCAATACCGCTTGTTATTGGTGAATCGAGCTCTATCAACTGCAATAGAGCTGAAG